GCCTCTCCAGTGGTCTCCTCACCTGCAGCTGCTGTCTCTCCAGTGGTCTCCTCACCTGCAGCTGCTGTCTCTCCAGTGGTCTCCTCACCTCTCTTCAGCCTGAGTCAAAGAGGATCCAGGTGGATGCCACTCTTGCCTAAGAATGGACGGTTTCTAGACCGCCCTTCTGATGTTGTGCCTCATTCAGGACGGCCACTTGGCCACCCACCTGAACCCCTGTCCCATTCTGGATGGTCTCCTGGCCATCCACCTTGACTCTGGGGGATGGGGGTTCTGTGTCCCCTTTGTATTGGTGTTACCCAGGTTCCTACTTGTCAGTTCTTTTTTTGTTTTTTGGTCCTTGTGTTTCCCTGTATGCCCTCCATCCTGTTTTTCCCTACCCCCACCCAAGATGGATGTAGCTCATTCCTTGGGATTTCAGGGGTCATCCCTTGAGTGAGGGGTACTGTGGGGTTTCTGGGGCTTTGTCCTGTCTTTTCTCTTTCCTCATGTTTCATTCACCCCTCAGTGATCTTCCTTGTGTTCAGCTCTTGTCACACCTGCATCTAATCCCAATCACCACAGGTGTTTCTACCCACATTAGTGTCTCTATTTATTCAGCGTTCTTGTATCTTGTCACTTGTCTGTGGGTTATCCTGAGAAGGCTTTTTGTGTTCTGTCTCCCTCCGTGTTCACTCCCTTAAAGTAAGTTTTGATACCCTTTGTTTTGTAAAATGAACTTGAAGTATTTACTTTTACTTTTTGGAGTTTCCTGTGCATTCATGAACTTGGGTTAAAACTTTAAAGCAGAACATGATAAGATAGATAGAACTTTATTGATCCTGCAGGAAATTGTTGTGCCAGAGTTTCAGTACAAGGTAACATACACAAGGAATCACACAAGATATAAAAAGTAACAGAGAATATGAAAAAAATAACAGAATATAAAAAGTTCTAAAACACTTTTATTGAAAGTGGGAGGAGTTGAAAAGTTTGATAGCCGCAGGGAGGAAGGACTTCCTGTAGCGTTCTGTGGAGCACCTTGGTGGTCTCAGACTACAAC